AAAGTGTCGTGAATTGTGTGAAGAGATGTCGGCTCTGAAGGCAAGCAATGAGTCCGAAGTGAAGGCATTGAAAGCACAGCTCAAGACATCAGAGGATTCAATGCAGACAATGACTGAAGAGATGGAAAGTTTGAGACAACAGTTGACGACATCTGAGAAGAGGTTTTGTTATATTCGCGATACAAATGAGTTTTTATTGAAATTAATATTTATTTGTTATACAAAATACTCATATCTTTCGCAGTAATCAAGAATTGGTCGCAGATTTGAGTGAAACGTCGGCTCAAAAAAGTTGTTTAACTCAAGAGATATCGATTTTGAAGGCGAGGAATGAGACAGAAGTACAGACTCTGAAAGTAGAGCTCAAGACATCATTGGAGTCAATGGAGACAATGGTTACCGAAAATAATAATTTGAAACAAACGGTGTATACTTTGTCGACATTGGTTTCAAACTTGAGGTCTGATATAATTGTTTTCTAAACTTAAATTTTATAACATTTATTCTAACGTTAATATAAATTCATAATTATTTTTAGTAATCAAAATATGGCCACAGATTTGAAGCACAAATTGTGTGAAATGTCGACAGAAAACAGTGTTTTGAGGGAAGAGTTGTCGGCGCCGTCGCCGCGATTGTGTCATCTGATAAAACGGCCGGACTTTGATTCCTATGGATTCAAAGTTCAAGAGAAGGCAGAGACCGGACACTACATCGGGAAAGTGAACGCCGACTCTCCGGCACAGTTGGCCGGACTCCGAGAGGGCGACCGTATTATTGAAGTGAATTGCGTTAACATTTCCAATGAAAGTCATCGACAAGTCGTCGAAAGGATTAAATTGATTCCCAATGAAACCAAACTATTAGTGATCGACGAGAAGACTAGACTCTCGTCGGAGACTCTCGTCAGTGAAGAGTCGGACCGAAAGTGTCGTGAATTGTGTGAAGAGATGTCGGCTCTGAAGGCAAGCAATGAGTCCGAAGTGAAGGCATTGAAAGCACAGCTCAAGTCAGCCATCGATTCAATGGAGACAATGACTGAAGAGATGGAAAGTTTGAGACAACAATTGATAACATCTGAGAAGAGGTTTTGTTATATTCGCGATACAAATGAGTTTATATTGAAATTAATATTTATTTGTTATACAAAATATTCATATGTTTCACAGTAATCAAGAATTGGTGGCAGAATTGTGTGAATTCTCGGCTCAAAAAAGTTGTTTAACTCAAGAGATATCGACTTTGAAGGCGAAGAATGAGATAGAAGTACAGGCATTGAAAGTACAGCTCAAGACATCATTGGAGTCAATGGAGACAATGGTTACCAAAAATACTAATTTGAAACAAACGGTGTATACTCTGTCGACATTAGTTTCAAACATGAGGTCTGATATAATTTTTAGCTAAAAATTTTTATTGCATTTATTCTAACGTTAATATAAATTTGTAATTATTTTCAGTAATCAAAATATGGCCACAGATTTGAAACAAAAATTGAGTAAAATGTCGACAAAAATTAGTGAATTGAGTAAAGAGTTGTCGGCATTGAAGGCATCGAAACATATCATTGAATCCGATGTAAAACTATTGGCTCAAGAAATCAATGCACAGAATATTAGGTTTGATTTTAATTACAATTAAAGTAAAAAATAAGTTATTAATAAATTATTAATTTGAAAACCTTTACAACAATTATATTGAAATAAAA